AGTACCACAATCTTTTGGAATAAAGGGTCTCTTTTATTTGCCCCTCAGATGTGTCCTTGGGTGGTATGAATGGTTAATGCACTTGGCTGCTGGCCGAAAGGTGGGCAGTTCGAGTCCACACAAAGGCACCTCAGAAGAAAGGTCTGGCGATCTACTGAAATATCAGCCATTGAAAACACTATGGAGCAGTTCTACTCTGACACACATAGGGTAGCCATGAGTTGGACTCAACTCAATAGCAACTGTGTTGTTTTTCTTTTCTCCTCAGAAGCATGTAACTTCCTCACAAGTATGTAACTTCTTCCCTTAGACTTCTTGACGTTTTATAGAATTTCAAGGATGAGAAATACTTTAAGAATCAAGTCCACTGCCTAATGTCTGAATTTCCTCTATAACATTTTCAAATGTTTGTAATGGGGAAAGGAGCCCTGGTGGTGCAGTGGTTAAGTGCCCACCAGTGGTTAAACCCACCAGCCGCTCCACAGGAGAAAGATGTCTGCTTCCGTAAAAATTTACAGCCTTGGAAACCCTATGGGAGCAGTTCTGCTCTGTCGTATAAGGTCTCTATGAGTCAGAATTGACTCGACAGCAACAGGTGTGGTATGGGTTTTGGTAATGGGAAACTTGCTATTTCTCAAGGTTGTCAGTCCACCTTGAAATACTTTGGCTAGTGGCAGTTGTCATCATCATCATTTTTTTTTATAATGAGCTAAAATGTGTCTCCTTGCAGCTTTTACCCATTGCTTCTATTTCTGTCTTCTATTCTGGGACCATATAAACCAATCCTGCTTTCACATGACAGTCCAGCAATTACTTAAAGACAGCTGCCCCCTACCTGGAGACTTCCTGGGTTCCAACTCATTCTTTTGTATACCCATTGTTACATCCCAGCATCTTGCAAGCACTGGGTGATCTCTTTCCCTTACCAATAGTCCTGTCCCAAGCAAATGGGGATTAGGACTTCCACTTGTTTAGCAGTGAGTGTTCAGCCACAGAGGGAGGAGGTATACCAAAGAACAATTTATCAGTTACTCTTCATTAAGATTGATCTTCAAGCAATCCTGCTCTCTCACTCTATCTTTTATTTTCATTTTCATAATATTTTTAATTTGTTTTATTTTTTGTTTTTAAGAATATACACAGCAGAACATACACCAATTCAACTATTTCTACATCTGTAATTCAGTGAGATTGATTACAGTCTTCAAGTTGTGCAGCTATTCTCACACTCCTTTTCTTAATTGTTTTTCCCACATTAACATAAACTTGCTGCCCCCTAAATTTCCTATCAATCTTTTGAGTTGCTGTTGTCAATTTGATCCTATGTAGATCTTAGAAGAGCACAATACTCAAGGCAGACATTCTTTACTAGTTAAGCTAAACCACTGTTTGGTTTTAAGAAGACTTCAAGGAATAATTTTGGGTTAAGGTTTAAAGATTATCTCCAGGCAGATAGTTTTGGGGGTTCATCCAGCCTCAGTGTCTCCAGAAAGTCTGAATTCTGTGAGAATTTGAAATTGTGTTCTGCGTTTTCCCCTTTTTGATCAGAATTCCCCTATACAATCTTTTATCAAAACATTCAGTAATGGTAGCCAGGCACCATCCAGTTCTTCTGGTCTCATGGCAAAGGAGGCAGTTGTTCATGGAGTCAATTAGCCACATATTCCATTTCTTCCTCCTAGTCCTGACTCTCCTTTCTCTGTTGCTCCAGGCGAATAGAGACCAATTGTTGTACCTTGGATGGCTGCTTGTAAGCTTTTAAGCCTCCAGGTACTATGCAGTGAACTAGGAGGTAGAACAGAAGTACTAAACATGATATGAGGCCAATTAACTGGGATGTCACATGAAACCTTGACCCTAAACTTCCAAATAATATGTCTATCACACAACTTTTGCCAAATCAATTTTTTACAGGTGTACAACTTACTGACAGCAAGCACATTAATTGGCTGTGCATTCCTACCCTTAATCAATGCAATTTTTCCATCACCATAAAGCAAAAGTCAGTGCTCCAAATAAGAACCCCCCCCTTTTGTCTCCCACCCTGGTAACCACTAATAAACTTTGGTCTCTATACATTTGCCTGTTCTTGTCTTTTTACATAAGTAAGGTCATTAACTCAAATATTAAAAGTATTGTCATTTCAAAATATAATCCCCATCAGAAGGATGAATAAGATATTATGTCCTTTTATTCATACTGACCCTCTAAATCCAAAATGTGGTTCACAACTTCAGCATATCTCAATTTGGAAGTTAAATTTGACCTAATATACTTGATGTTCATTTAGATTTCAGAAAATCAACATAAGAGATAATTCCCAAAGCCAAATTGTCTTAAAAATTTTCAATCATTGAATCAAACATCGCAATTAGAGTTGAATTTACACTAGATGAAATTTAATCAGATAAGAAATCCCACTCTTTTTATTGCTGAATCATAGCTCATTATAGGGATGAAAACCACTTACATTATTTGTCCTGATGAAGGACAGTAGAATTACTCCCATATTTTGCTTTGAATATAGCTGCTTCATCATTTGCATTAGGTTTTCTCTGTGAACATAAGTTTTCATATCTGTAGAACAATTATGTCCCAGTGGGAATGCTGGGTCCAGTTGTAAATGAATGAGGCATTTTTAAAAGAATTGCCCAGCTGTTTTCGTGAATGGTTGTACAATTTTCCAATCCCACCTGCACTGGAGGTCTCGCACTCCATTTTAAAGAGATATTGAGTAGAAATGCCCCAAAGGGTTTCCAAGGAGCCTCTGGTGTATTGTAACTGCTGACCTTTTGGTTAGTAGCCGAACTCTTAACCACTACACCACCAGGGCTTCTAACCCAATTCAAGGCCTAGTGGAGCTGATGTAGTTGCAACATGCAAGTGAAGAATCGTGAAATCCCTAAAAATAAAGAGGAAAAACATAAAGTCTCAGTAAAAACAAAACTACAAAAACAAAAGAAATGAAAAATCCACAAACAAAAGGAATTCAGCACAGGAGAGTAAGAGGAACAAAGAAAACATCAGCACCACAAAAAAAGCACTACAAAATGACAGCAATAAACTCACATCTATCAATAATTATAC